CGTGGAGACACAGAGAGATTCCCAAGCTTGAATCCTCAGTCTGTCTACTGGCCTGAGGTGAGAGCCATTTTCACAGACCCAACTCAAAGATAGTGAACTCCATTCATTTTCTTTCCAGCGCTCTTCCACGATAGCAGGGATGTTGGTGGGCAGATAAAGGAAGAAAAGCATCGTTGCTATCCCTGCTTCTATGTTTGACGTCTAGGTGGGGCCTCTCTCAGGCAAGGCCTTGTCACTAGCTCCGTGTAATGAATTGTGGGAAGCCGCAGCCTGGCTCAGATGACACAGGAGTGCCTCTTTGTGAGACACCCGCTGTGCATCTGGTGGCATGGCCAGGGGTAACGTGATACGGCTCACAATTTTAATCTCACCAAAAAATACACCTGGCAGGCTCATTTCAACTGGCAGGATAAAGCTCATATTTCATTGCCAGTGTGTAAACACCTCAACTTTTCATCTCTAACACGTTTCCTGGGTGATTTGCAAATTGAAAAATCAAGTGGAACGCCAAAGGGGTGGAGCCCACGTGCTGTTTTGGTCAAGTGTGGGGCCACACTGATGTGGAAGTGAGTTCAAGCAGGCAGTACATGGGAGCTGGACAGGAAAGCTGGCTGTGGCAGGTTTGTCTCAGGGAAGGAAATCCAATAGAGAAAATTGTTTGGCGAGCATTCAGCAGCTGCCTATGAACACCTGGAGCCTGTTTCTGTGACAGGTGGAAGGACTGTGCCATTGTCTTGGGATCCATGTCCCCTTGTTCTCTGGCCACAAACTGTCCTTAACCAAAGATGGCTTTCTTTCACTGTCTGAAAATCATTCATTATTGGTATAACATGAACATTCTCTGAAATGCAAGGCTCAAGCACTACTGTCTGATTTCTCTACTTGGCGTGAGAGCACTTGAGATAGTAGAATGGTAAATAGAAATAGTACAACAAACCAAGTCCCAGTCCTGAGGGCTTCTGTTTTCAGTCCCAATATACATAGCATAATGTATGTGTTGATGGCGTTTTGTGTGAACAATTATTGGGGACCATTCAATTCAAGAGTCTCCAACTTTTTTGTCACCTGCTAGTTAATTTTCACAACATCACACTAGAGCACATGGGTAGTAATGCTACACTCCATGTACAGATGGAGAAATCAGAGCCCACAGATGTTCTGCTACAGGACTCACCAGAGACCTGCAGTGATCCGCTGGGTGTTTTCCAGCCCAGGTCTCAAACCTCTGGTTACTGGTGCCACCCAACTCTCCCTAGCCAGGCGTGATAAGGAGGCACTCCCCAGCCCAAGATAGCAAGAGAGCTGGTTCCGAGAGTCAGGTCCAGAGCCGGCCCTGGGGAATGGTAGGAGTGGTGACTTTGGACTTTATCCATTGAACAGCACCTTTTGCAATTGTGGGAGCTCCCACCTCCCACCCACTCATCTTCCTTGCTTGTCAGCCCCTTTGTTTGCACTGGACTGATTTCCTTGAAGTGATAGTTGATAACTAAAGGAGTCATTGTTAATAAGGTCACACTGGGGTGGCTTAGTTGTCAAGACCCCACTTGAGACACCTGCAAAACACATCAGAGTGCCTGAATTTGAATCCTGGGTCCATTCTCAACTTCACCTTCCTGTAATGTAGACTCTGGGAGGCAGCAGGTGATGGCTCCAGAACTTAGTCGCTGCTACCCACAGGCAAGACCTGGATTGAGTTCCCTCTCCCAGCTTCAACTTAGCTGGTATGGACATTTGAGGAATGAACCAGAGATAAGCACTCACTCTGTCTGTCTGTCTCTCTCATAAGGTCACATTTTGCTAAAAACAGCGTTTTGAAAGGAGACTCAACACTAGGCAGATCTTCCTGGGCTGCCCTCCTTCTCCCTGTTTCAGATGTTCTTTCCCTTCAGGAAGCAGAAACTGATCGGAACCTTTTAGGGGAACAGCCCTCAACTACAAGTATTTTGCACCACCACAAACTTTTCTTTGCATTCCATTTTTTCCCACAAACTTCTTGAAGTACGCTCCTTTAACAATACCCTACGTTTATACACAACCATGTTCCAAAAACCAGTACAATAGGAAAATCCTACCAAATAATGGGAAATAAACTGACAGGAGCTTGTTTTTGTTGATCATTTAAGCCCAATTTAAATTTTTTTCTAGGGCAAGACCTAAATAAATTTTCAATATTTAAGCACGACCCGGATATCACCAAAAGGCCTGGAATGTGCCTTACAAATCAGCCTGGAAATATATTGCACTAGTCGTTAAAAGCTAAGAATCTGGGGGCTGGCGCAGTGGCACAGCAGGTTAAAGCCCTGGCTTACAGCGCCTGCATCCCATATGGGCACCAGTTCAAGTCCTGGCTACTCCACACCGATTCAGCTCTCTGCTTTGGCCTGGGAAAGATGGCCCAAGTCCTTGGGCCCCTGCACCCACGTGGGAGACCCGGAAGAAGCTTCTAACTCCTGGCTTCAGATCAGCTCAGTTCTGGCTGTTGCAGTCATCTAGGGAGTGAACCAGCATATGGAAGACCTCTCTCTCTCTCTCTCTCTCTCTCTCTCTCTCTCTCTCTGACTCTACCTCTTTTTGTAACTCTGTCTTTCAAATAAAATAAATCTTTAAAAAAAAATCTAGGGATATGCTATGGTTTGCCCTCTCTGAACTTCATGTTGAAGTTTGATTGCTGTTGTGTCCGAGTTGGGAGGTGGGGTCTTTAAGAATAAGTGATTACATTGTTGAAAGAGAGCATTGCCTTCCTGAGGGGCCGGGTTTCTTCCTGGGAGGGTGGGATGGCACCAGGGAGCACTGCCCCTCACGCGTGCCCCTTGGGCCCATGCCCGCTTGCCCTCTGCTTTCCGCCATGTTGTGACAGTAGGAAAGCTGTCACTAGAAACTGCCACCAAGCCCTTGGCGTCCTCAGCCTTTGGAACTGTAAGCCAAATTTCCCTTTATAAAATATTATTCAGCCCCTGGTATTCTAGGGACTGTGATGGGATTTTAAAATGTTTTCTCCATGACAGTAACCAGAGGCCAGCTGAACTCGGGGAATCCGTCAGGATCCCAGTGTGATGGGCATGAGGCCTCCTTCCATGTGCAGTGGACACTCCAGATAGCTGAAAGTCCTCGCACATCCTAATCTCACGGTGGCCTCTGGTGTCCGAGTTGAGCCGCTGTGCAGGGTGCGCCCCTATGCCTTCTGCTCATGGACCAAGCCGTTGTCCTTGACTTCATGAACAACAAGGAACAACAAGGAATCTTGGAATCCTCCTCCTGTCTGCTCTGTGGTCGCTTGTCATCCTCACCCCATTCGTCAACTCAGCAGTGAACGCCTGAGTTCACTGTGCCTACTTAGTGCCTGTGCTGGAGATCCGACAGGAGAGAGGCAGGATCCCTCCTGCGTCTGTGGGAACCCCTGCCTGCTGCTCCCACCCCCTTGCTCTGAATCTCTCTTCCATGCCAGACTGGCTTTTCTAGACTTATGGTTAGAGTGCTGCCCTGCTCAAAATCCCCATGAAGGGAGGTGGTGGTGCATGGGGGCAGCGCAGAGTGGCACAGCACGGTAAGCTGTCTCCTGGGAAGCCCACATCCCATATGGATTTGCCAGCTGGAATCCTGGCTACTCCACTTCTGATCCAGCTCCCTGCTGATGCACTCTGGGAAGCAGCAGGTGATGACCCAGATATTTGGTCCTCTGCCACCCACATGGGAGACCCAGATGGAGTTCCAGACTACTGGCTTCAGCCTGGCCCACCTGGCTGTTTTGGGAATTTGGGGAGTGAACCAACAGATAGAAGATATCTTTGTCTCTTTCTTTTTCTCTCTGACACTATGCCTTTCAGCTAGGTAAGAATAAACGTTTTTTTCAATCCTCATCAGGCTCCCTATTAAAATCCACATCCTTCAGTGTTGCACCTGGAGCTCTCCAAGAGCAGACCCCTGTCTGACTCAGCAGCCGCAGCCCACCAGGCATCCCCCAAGATTCTCATTCTACATCGTTCTGTAAGGTGTGTTGTTTCCTGAGCACACCATGACTTTGTGAGTTTTCTTGTATTTTTGTACGTTGTTTTCTCAGCCTAGAATGCCTTTCCCTTCAGATTTCTTCTCAACCTTAAAGAACAGGCAGACATCACCCCTCTGGATTGTGGTCATCACCCACAGTCACCAGTGTCCCCCCCTACTCCAGTGGGGCAGCTGCACTCAACTGTTAGTGTGAACAGATTCAGTGCTGGGGATATAGTAGCTGTAGTTAGCATGGTGATTCATAATAATTGTTCAATGGGTTTCTAAAATTTGATTTATTTCAGATAGGGAGGTACCCCACCCACTGTTTCACTCTCTAAATGCCCACAGTGGCTGGGGCTAGGCCAGAGCAGAAGCCAGGAGCCTAGAACTCAATCCAGGTCTCCTGTGTAGGTGGTAGGAACTCAGCTACTTGAGCCATCATTGCTGCCTCCCAGGTTATACATCAGCTGGGAGCTGGAATTAGGAGCCAGAGCTGGGAATCAAACCAGGTAGGTACCCAGTGAGTTGCAAGGCTCAATGCCTGCTCTGGGTCAATTAATTTTATACTGTTTTTAAAAAATCATGTTATAAGCCAACATTAATCTCAGAGATATTGTGTTAACTCTCTATACCTCAGTTTCCTCTGCTGAAAAATTACTACTTAATTATAAAGTCATTAACAGAGTTCGCATCGATTTCTGTATCAGTGCACGCCTTAGTGTCAGTCACATCCTGCTGGCTCATTCAATAACAGCAGTCTGTTAGTTCTGTTGTCATTGAAGTTTGCACTCTGCGTTAGCATACCTGGCCTCGAGTTACACCCTCTGGAAGTTTAAGGAGAAAGAGGATTCATGACCCTAGGGCACCTCTTGCCTCACGTGTTTTTCATGAAGTGGATGTTACTCTCTCAGTTAATAAGGAGCAGAGAGACTGGCTTTGTAGTGTAGTGAACTGAGCCATTGCATCCCATGTGAGTGCTGATTCATGTCCTGGCTGTTCCACTTCTGGTCCAGCTCCTAGCCAATGGCCTGGGAAAAGCAGTGGAAGATGGACCAAGTCCTTGGGCTCCTGCCACCCACATGGGAGGCCCAGAAGAAGCTCCTGGGTTCGGGCTGGCCCAGTCCTGGCCATTGAGCATTGAAGCCATCTGAGGAGTGAACCAGCAGATGGAAGACCTCTCTCTCTCCCTCTCTTTCTCTCTCTCTTCTTTATTCTTTTTCTTCTTCTGTGTCTTTCTCTCTCTCTCTCTCTCTCTCTTCCTTCTTCTTTTTCTTCTGTGTCTTTCCAATGAATAAATAAATCTTTAAAAATAAATAAATGAGGGGTATAGTCCTGACTAAACTCCAAGAGTGACCGATGCCCATGCTGTGTGGAAACCCCAGTGGGCTGCCCCCTTATGCTCCACTGTAGCTCTGCAGAACCTTCTACCACCAGCCATTGACACACGTTTACCTGTGGCCCACTCAGGTGAATACAGGGAAGCATCGCCACCAAAGTCTAGAACTGTTGCTCATTCCAGAGTTCATAAAATGGGTGGCTGCAGTGAGCCACAAGAGAAATTGCATTTAAGGAAAATCAGCAACACTGTGATACCGCTCAGTGCTGTCTCCTGGTGTCCTCAAAGTCTACCACTGTGTCTGAGTGGGCACTGAATGGCTGAATATCCCAGGTCTGGCATTACCCAGCGTCGCCTGCCATCGCCGAGAGGGTTCAATTTAAAACCTTCTGTATATGTCTTGGCTTGAGTGCTGGAATTAACTCCTTGAAATTTCTTGCCTTGCCCTTGACTGACTAGGGTTTTGTGCTCACTTCCTCACTTACCAAAGTTGGTTGAGATTCTACTATTTGCCAGATTCTCGGCTGGGAAAATAGTAGTGAACAAAACAGACTTGTGTCTATTGCCGCCATCTATTTAGCCGTATCTGGGGTGCTCCAGAGGGGTGTTACCGTCCTCCAAAGGGCATTTTTGAAGCTTGTAAGAGTCCTTTTTGGTTGTAAGGTGTGGGAAGATGCTCCTGTCATTCAGTGGGTGGTGACGACAAATATCAGAAATCCAGGAACACGCCCCCAGTACATTATCCCTCATCCTGCTCGAATTTCAGTGGCTTACCAGATTTGAATGTAGGTGGAAAAATCTATTTTTAATCATCTGAGCTTAGAACCTAATCCCATTCCATATTCCGTATGCATATGCATAGTAATTTTGTACTGTTTTAATATACCCTAAGTTACCGTGGATTGCAACTATGGAGCAAATTAAGGTAAGATGTCGCTTTGTTTTTGATCTGAATTTTATCCTGTGTTTGCCATATCAGAAAATTCTGTCTCCAAATATCTTCCAGAGGCTCTTGCATTGGAGTTGATTGCACACTCACCTGGTATCAGCCACACCTGGGGCTGTCTCATTTCCCATGAGTTTATGTATAGTTGCAAGTGAGACCCCTTCATCTCTTCCTTGTGTAATCGTGGCCAAGCATTTTTGCACTGAAATTGCTTTCTTTTTATTTCATCTATTTTTTGAAAGATTTTATTTATTTGGAAGGCAGAATGACAGAAAGAGACAAACAGAGAGATCTTCAATCCATTAGCTCATTCCCCAAATAGCCACAGCAGTCAGGGCTGGGCCAAGCTGAAGCCAGGAGCTCCAACCTCCATCAAGGTCTCCCACATGGATGACAGAGGCCCAAGTACTTGGATCATCATCTGCTGCCTTCCCAGGCACATTAATAGGGAACTGGATCAAAAGTAGAGCAGCCAGGACTCAAATCAGCTCTCTGATATGAAATGCTTATGTCTCAACCCGCAGCGTAACCCACTGTGCCACAATGCCAGCCCCTTTCTTTATTTTACAATTAGGCAACATATTATTTTTTAAAATTTATGTGTCTCTAGTGTATATTATCTGTAAATTTCTTTGAAGCTAGAAAAGAAAGGATTAGAGGCTGGTGCTGTGGTGCAGTGGGTTAAAGCCCCAGCTGCAGTGCCGGCATCCCATATGGGTGCAAGTTTGGGTCTCAGCCACTCCTCTTCCAACCCAGCTCTCTGCTATGTCCTGGGAAAGCAGTAGAAGATAGCTCAAGTCCTTGGGCCCCTGTACCTGCGTGGGAGACCCAGAAGAAGCTCCTGGCTCCTGGCTTCAGATCAGCTCAGCTCTGGCCATGTGGTCATCTAGGGAGTGAACCAGCAGATGGAAGACCTCTCTCTCTCTCTCTCTCTGTGTGTGTGTGTGTGTGTTTTGTGTGTAACTCTGTCTTTCAAATAAATAAACGAAATCTTGAATAAAAAGAAAGAAAAGAAAGAATTGTAGAATACTTGGGAGTTTACAAAAAATTTGGCCAGTTGTAACAGAGTTGGATGCTCCTGCCACAGAGACAGGACTCTGCAGAGGGCTGCCTATGAGTTTTAAGCTGTCGCCTCAGGATTCCCCATGGGTCCAGTCAGAACAAACAGCATCACAGCACTGGAACTGGGTCCTGGAGACCTCCTGTTAGGCCAGGCACTAGCCTTTGGTTGCTGGACTGTGGGGACCTTTAGGGAATCTGGAAGAGAGACTGAGGCAGCCAGAGCAGCAGGAGATGCCCAAAGGGTCTGACAGGTGGCCATTTACCAGGGTCTGAACAACTGGTCCACTGCCCTGCTGCCCTCAGCTGAGTGCCAGCCCTAAGCGCAGCCCTTCTGCCCACACATCTGTTTGCCGGCTAAGTGCACGCTCCCTGCTGCACTCCCAGCCACACTGGGTATTTCCAGAGAAGCCTGAAAACCCCCTTCCAGCCTTCTTAGTGTCACGGCTTCTGGGTCCACCTTATCTAGTATATTCCAGGGACATGGAGGTCCTTCTGACTGCATCTCACAGGCACTATGCTCTTCATTCTTTTATCAACAACGGTGTTTAACCGAAAATCACCCCGTTTTGTCCAGTTGGCAATGACATGGCTTTTCGTCGGTATCTGAGGTTAGTAAAATTGCTTGAACATTGGCAGTCATGATGGCAGCTCAGACCTCCACTGTGTGTCAGCCAGGGTACACACTGTTCCTGATGTAGTCATCACCAGAACCTTTTGGATGAATGTTGCTGACTTCTTAGGAAGATGCTGGGGCTCAGACCATTGTGAAAGTGAAGGTAGGACCAGAAGTGTCCTACTCCAAAGTCAGAGCTGTTTTCAGATCCTAAGAACGTAAGCTTTGGGAACCAGGCTTATCTAAGATCAAGTCCAGGTTCTAGCCAGATGCTCTTGGGCAAGCTACTAACTATGTCTCAGCCTTGTTCCTTCGTTCGTAAAACAGGGGTAATAGTGCCGATCTTGCCAACCTTTCCAGGTTTTGCAATATTTAAATAATACGTAGACTCCAAAGTTCAGTGCATGATTTATAGTAGGCAAGCAGTAAATGTTCACTGCCTTTCTATTCCTGCCCCCACTGCCAAAATGATCTTCAGATGACCTTTACCCCAAGGGACACCTGCAGATACTTTTTTTGTGGATTTCCTGATGGTGAGGATCATGTCGGTCCCAGTGGCTGCTCAGCCCGGTTGCGTTTTGTCACAGCCTGTCCCTGTGTTTATTCTGGAAGAAGCAGCATTTATTGTGCCAGAGGGAAGGACAAGGTTTGACTCCATTGGCTCTTTTCCTTCGCAGGAATTAGATTTTTTTTTATTACAGCAGTAATGTGTAACGCTGGAGAGGTCCATATTACAAGTTCAGAGAAGTCTTCTAAAACCAGTGATGGGAAGTAGTTACATATTTTCCCTCCTTCCTTGTGATGCTAGCCAGTAGTAGGGTGCATGGATTGGTGCTTCAATTTTGTAATCTGGTGTCACACACATACAAAAAAAGTCCAGAAGCTGAGTCTAGCTCATAAAGCCAGCTCTGTAGAGTAGCAAGTGAGAAGGGGTCAGAGCTGAAAAAAAGACCCAAAAGAGAAAAGCCAGGTGAGGGCCACACCAAAGGGGTCAAGTGGATCCTTGTGGGTTTCGTGCGATGCTAAGCAGCTGCCAGCTTATTATCCACTAGGTGCCAAGGCCAAGAACAGCTGGAACTGAGAGTGATGGTTGGCCCCTGAGTAACTGAAGTCATGTGAGCCAGAGGAGGGAAGGCAGCTTCTCCCTACTTCTGTTTCCTGCTTGCCCTTCACCCATGATCCACATTCCGGTGTGATCCGCTGCTGCGCGTGACAGCCTGGCCAGGTCCAACAGCATCAACCAGGCAGCCATCAAATACCGTGCCTGGCAGATACTCTCGCCCACGCCCTTTTACATGAAGAAAAACTCCCCGGCCTCTCTGGCCACTTTGTTCTTCATGCTAGGATATTTCATATGCCTGTTGTTTCTTGTCTGTTTGTTGATGGCTTTTAAACCCTTGGGGGAGGTCTTTTCTGTTCTCACTAATATATTCCAAGTTCTTACAGTGAAATCTGGCATGAAAGGTGCCTAATAAATATTTTAATGGGGGAAAAAAAGGAACAACGACGTATGATAAGGTCAGCATCAGTGGGCAGCAGGCAGGAAAGAAGATTATGAAGAAAAACAGAGGCAGAGAACATAGAAGACATTATCTGATTCTTTCGTTCCTTATGAATGAAAAATGTTTGTATGGAAACAAGAGAAGCCACTTCCATCTTGAGATTTCTGCTACGCAGGCTGCATCCAGTTTCCCAGGGGCTTCATTTTCAGGTTTCCCTTCCACATTGGTGTGTGCATTTATTCATTTGTCCATTATTCGCCTTACTGTGTTTAGGATTAAAATGCGAACCAGACTGCCACCAGTATCCACTTGTACAACGAGATTGGGTCTAACCAAGCCAACTGTCTTCAATAGCATGCTGCTGTCCATTACCTCAGTGAATCAAAATCCGGTTCAGATGAAGCCAAGTCCAAAAGCTTGCTGTCTTTATGGGTCAGCTAGTTTCAGGATCTAATGAGTCATTGACCTGGGAAATGAGCAAAAATAATTGTATCACCAACCACAGACTGTAGCCATAATCCGAGATAGCCAGCTCACAAACCATTGCTGCTGGCCAGAGTGCATGACTCTGCCTAAACCATGGCCGGAGCAAAACAGCACAGAGCTGACAGCACTGGCTGACGTTTGGCCTAAAGCACCGGCGGTGTATATGAGAACAGAGCATTGCTGCTTCCACTTTGTGTTGATCTGGATTGGAACTGAGTCATGCGGAACCCAGCGACCAATTGCGTATTTATGCATTGCATGGGACTAAATTGGAACCGGATTGTACTGAGCACAGGGACACAGAGCACGTTGATGTGGAGTACTGAGCTGCTGTGAGAAGACACTGACCAGCAGAGACAAACTGAAGAGGGGAGACAGGAAAGGGGCTGAACTGGAGGAGGGGGACATTAAGGACAAGACAGCTGCACTGCAGGTGATATCAGCGAGGGCTGTGTCCTGGGAAAGCCTGGTCGAGGAGCATCTACATAATATGTCTAAATCTGAACTCCGGCTCTTTCTGCTCAGTCTGCCCCTTCTGCCTTGTCCCTTTCTCAGTGGATGGTAAAGTGACTCCAGCCTTCTGGTCACCCAGGTCAGAAATGAAGGCATCGTTCCCAATTCCTCATTTTTTTTTTTTTTTTGACAGACACAGTGGACAGTGAGAGAGAGACAGAGAGAAAGGTCTTCCTTTGCCGTTGGTTCACCCTCCAATGGCCGCTGCGGCCGGTGTACCGCGCTGATCTGAAGCCAGGAGCCAGATACTTCTCCTGGTCTCCCGTGGGGTATAGGGTCCAAGGACTTGGGCCATCCTCCACTGCACTCCCTGGCCACAGCAGAGAGCTAGACAGGAAGAGGGGCAACTGGGACAGAATCCAGCGCCCCAACCTGGACTAGAACCCGGTGTGCCGGCGCTGCAAGGCGGAGGATTAGCCTATTGAGCCACAGTGCCAGCCCCTCATTTGCTCTTAAGTCGCACAACCGATCTGCAGTCCACCTCTTGCTGCAGTCCCCACTGAAGTCACTCTAGCGCCAGCTACCTCCATCTATCCTCTCTGAATTATTGCAGTCGTCTCAAAAAGGATCTCCTCGCTTCTGCCCTGATGCCCCAGTGGTCTCCTCTGAGTGCAGCAGCCAGGGTTAGCCTTAGAAAAGACACACCATGCATTTCTCTGCTCAGAACCAGGCCAAGGTCCTGTCAGCAGCCTAGCGATCTGTGCCCCTACACTCCCATTTCCAACACAGCCTCCAGCCCCGCCACTTCCCCTCACTCTCTGCATTGCAGGTCTACCATCTGTTTGCTGTGCCATGAACCCTGAACACCCGCTCCAACCTTGGGATCTTTGCAGGGGCTATTTCTTCTGTCAGAATTCTCTTACCCAGATGTCCACGTGGCTAACGTCACATCCAGCTATGTCGCTTCCTCAGTGAGACCTGTTTGAAATTGAATCCACCATTTCTGTTTCCAGCCACCCTCATGCAGCTGTAGATTTCCCCCAAGGCTTTTTTTAAAGATTTTATTTAAAATTGAGTAGGATAAACTTATTTTTCATCTTGAAGCAGATCCTGAAACTTGTGTGCTATACCATGGAAAGATGAAGGGATTCTGTGGCAGCAGTGATATGCCACTTCTTGAAAGGCAGCTGATTGGATGCTCATGGGATAGAAGAGTAAATATCTCCGAAATATCAACACATTTCTGCAAACCAAAAAAAAAAAAAAAGATTTTATTTATTCATTTGAGAGGCAGAGTTACAGACAGACAGAAAGGTCTTCATTCCCCAAATGGCTGCAACAGCTGGAGTTGAGCAGATCCAAAGCCAGGAGCCAGGAGCTTCTTCAGGGTCTCCCAACGCAGGTGCAGGAGCCCAAGCAATTGGGCCATCTTCCACTGCTTTCCCAGGCCGTAGCAGAGAGCTGGATCAGAAGAAGAGCAGCCGGGACCAGAACTGATGCCCATATGGGATGCCGGCACTGCAGGCAGAGACTTAACCTGCTGTGTGCCACAGCATCGCTCCCCCTCCATGACTTTGACACCTAACGTGCTACGTGGCGTAGTTATTTGTTTTGGTTACTGCTCTTTCGCTGTCTCCTGCTTTGACAGTTTGTTCTATGTGTCAACTTGACTGGGCCAGGGCTGGTGCTGTGGTGACTGGAATCCCATACTGGAATTGGAGTTGGAGTCCCTGCTGCTCCACTTCCAATCCAGCTTACTACTAATGCATCTGAGAAGGCAGCAGGTGGTGGCCCCAGTGGTTGGGCCCTGCCATCCATATAGTAAACCAGGATGCAATTCGTGGCCCTTGGCTTCAGCCTGGCCCAGACTGATTGTTGTGGGCATTTGGGGAGTGACCCAGCAGGTCAAAGATCTCTCTCTCTCTCTCTCTCTCTCTGTCATTCTGTCTTTCAAATAAATCTTTTAAAAATTTTTTGACTGGGCCACAAAGTGTCTTTGGTCAAATATTGTTCGGGGTGTTTCTGTGAAGGCATTTTTGGGTGAGGTTAACATTTCAATGAGCAGATTTAGTCAAGCACATTGTCTTCTCCCATGTAGGGGCCTCCTCCAGTCTTTTCAAGGCAGAGTTACGCAGGTTTCCTCAGTGGTGGGCATTTGGCAGGGTGGTTAAAATGCTGCTTGGGCTTTCCGGAGGTGACGAACAACCTGCTCACATGAATGTGCCTCTCAAAAAGGATCTCCTCCGTCCCTCTCCGGAAGGGAAGAGGGAACACAAGAAGAAGCACCTGGTGCAGAGCCCCAGTTCCTATTTCATGGATCTGAGGTGCCCAGGATGCGCTCAGATCACGGCTTTCAGCCATGCACAAATGGTAGGTTTGTGTGGTGGCTGCTCCACTGTCATCCACCAACCCAGGGGAGGAAAAGCCAGGCTTTCAGAAGGATGTCCCTTCAGAAGGAAGCAGCACTCAGAGCACCCTGAGTCAAGATTCCTGGGAAATCTTCCCAATAAACACATTTTGGATGACGGAAAAGAATGCTGCTTGGGTTGCTTGCATCCTATATCAGGATTTGAGTCCTGCTTCTGCTTTTGAACCAACTGCCTGCCAGTGCCCACCCTCGGAGGCAGCAGATCATGACTCAAGTAGCTGGGTTCCTGCCACCCATATGGGAGACTCATTGGGAGCTCTGGGCTCCTTGCTTCAGCCTGGCTTAACCCTGGCTCTTGCGGGCATTTGGGGAGTAAATTAGTGGATAGAGTTTCTCTGTCTGTCTCTGTCTTTGTCTCTCTGTCTTTCAAATAAAAATAGTTTTTAAAAATTTAAAACATAGATTTCTTTAGTACCTAAGTTCATATGAGGAGTCTTTTAAAAGTTAGTGGAGGGGCCAGCGCTGTGACGTAGTGGGTAAAGCCACTGCTTGCAGTGCCGGCATCCCATGTGGGCACCGGTTCGGGTCCTGGCTGCTCCACTTCCTATCCAGCTCTCTGCTGTGGCCTGGGAAAGCAGTGGAGGATGGCCTGAGTTCTTGGGACCCTGAGGAAGCTCTTGACTCCTGGTTTCAGATCACAGCCAGTTGGGGAGTGAGCCAGTGGATGGAGGACCTCTCTCTCTCTCTGCCTCTCCTTCTCTCTCTCTTTGTAACTCTGACTCTCAAATAAATTAATTAATTAAAAAGAAAAATAAAAAGTATATTATGAAAAAAAACTATGCATCAGTTTTTAAAAAAAGAAAGCTAGTGGAAATTGAAAAGATATTTAGGGAGCAGGTGTTTAGCCTACCAGTGAAGATGCCTACATCCCACATTGGAAGTCCTGGGTTCAGTGTCTCACTTCAGCTCCTGACTCCAGCTTCCTGCTAATACACACTCTGAGAAGCAGCAGATGATGTTTCAAATACTTGCATCCCTGTCCCATGCATGGGAGACCTTAACTGAATCCCCAGCTTCCAGCTTCGACCTGACCCAGCCCTGGCTGTTGAAGACATTGGGAGAGTGAGCCACACTCTCTCTCTCTAATAAATGGATTATTTTTTAAAAGTTTATTTTGGGCCGGCGCCACGGTTCAATAGGCTAATCCTCCACCTAGCGGTGCCGGCACACCGGGTTCTAGTCCCGATTGAGGCGCCGGATTCTGTCCCGGTTGCCCCTCTTCCAGGCCAGCTCTCTGCTGTGGCCAGGGAGTGCAGTGGAGGATGGCCCAAGTGCTTGGGCCCTGCACCCCATGGGAGACCAGGAGAAGCACCTGGCTCCTGGCTTCGGATCAGCACGGTGCGCCGGCCGCAGCGCGCCAGCCGTGGCAGCCATTGGAGGGTGAACCAATGGTAAAGGAAGACCTTTCTCTCTCTCTCTCTCTCACTATCCACTCTGCCTGTCAAAAAAAAAGTTTATTTTGGTGCAAAAGAAATTTTGAAATCCATGCATAGCTTTTTTCAAGGAGGCATTTTCCATAAGCTTCTTGAAGATCTCTCATATCCAAGAAGAATTATGAGTCCCCAAAGGGAGATGCATGTGCAACATCCTCCCCCTCAACCTCTGTTAGCCAGGAGGAGGCATCGCTGGTGTGGAGCTGCTCACCGCACGGTGGCAGGTGCTGAGTTGGGTGCACCACTCTGGAGAAGAGCAAACAGTGGCACCTTTTGAAGATTGTGCTAGCCTTAAAAGAGAAAGCACATTGCCAATGACAAGTCATTGGAGCTAAGTACCCAGTAATTACTGTGATTCCAGGCAGTAATGGTTTCTCTACCTTGTGGATGTCTGAAGACTCAGGGGTAAATGTTGAAATTCTATGTATCTCCTAAGTTTGAGATTGAAGCTAAAGATTTCTCAGCTTAACTAAATGAATCTCAGAGAACAGATCTGGCCATCCTTCCATCAGGAGTTCACTGATTCAGGGGAAAGACAACGACTTGGCACGTGCTGTTGACTTGGGGTGGGATTTTTCAGATGAAAGTTTTAACTTAAACAGGTTTATCGTGAGAAAGTAGACACAACTGATGAAAACCAGTCCACATGGTGTCTGGCGTGTGGTCAGTGCTCACCCACCATTGGTAGAAAAATAGATGGAGTTTAGAAAACTTTTTTTTTCATTTCAAAGAACTGATTTTTGATCTGTGTATTTAGTCTTAGATTTTATAAAGCTGGTGAATTTAAATGATTTGGACAGTTCTCTCCAGTTTATAACCCTGGGAATTATTAGTGAAGTTGCTGTAGGTTTGACTAAAGCACAGTAAGATCCACTGCTCTTCACTTTTAATGTGCAGAGTCTCATAAAGTAAAATTATAGATGATTATAAAATTCATCACTGTCAGAAGCCAGATGGTACCTCCCAGATAGGGTAAGAGTTAATGTCTTCTCAGCTGAGCCAATAAAATAAACGGAAACAATAACAAAATGCTCGATGAGGGTCTTCTCATTTCTTATTCCTGTTGTGGATAACCAAGTTCAGCTTTGATTTTCAACATAATTTTCCCCCCAAATTTCTGATTTCTCTCTGTAGTCATTTTGTATGCCTCTATCTGTCATTGTCGCTTATTGAGCCATTACTTCCTTCTTTGTATCTCAAATAGACCAGCTCATCCTATGCCCCTGCCATGAACCCAGAATTTTACAGGAACCCATTTATAAAGAGAGTTATAGTAGAGCTTTGTGTGTATCCTATATTCACTTGTCAGCCTTCTCACCACTGCATGAATAGAAAAGATATTTTCTCTGGGCTCTTCTTTGTACCATCGGTGAAAGCATCTATCAGAACAACTGTAGTGAAAGCTACAAATCTTAGCCTGAAGGGTCAGTTTATGTTAAGGAATTTTTGTTTGTTTGTTTTTTATTTTATTTTTTTCTATCATCTTCCAACCCCTGTTCTTGCACCAAGATTCAGGATACAAGATATTCTAGGGACACAAATTGTTGTGGGTCATTGCATTAAATGTTTAGATTTCCATTGAACTTGACTTTAAAAAAAATTGAAAGCAAAGAGTTACACAGAGAGAGAGAGAGAGAGAGAGCTTCCATTAGCTTCCATTAGCTGGTTCACTCCCCAGAGGACAACAATGGCCAGGATTGGACCAGGCCAAAGCCAGGAACCAGGAACTTCTTCCGGGTCTTCCACATGGGTATGGCAGCCCAAGCACTTGGACCATCTTCTGATGCTTTTCCCCAGACCTTTAGCAGAGAACCAGATAAGAAGTGGAGCAGCCAGTACTCAAACCAGCACCCATATGGTATGCTGGCATTGCAGATGGCAGCTTTATCTGCTATGCCACAATGCCGGCCCTTGAACTTGACTTTTTTATATCACATACCTACCCTCCTGAAAAGTGTCAGGCATTAAGAGATTAGAGAAGACTGTAGCCCACATGTCATGTCAGCAGAACCATGTTCTTGTTTGGATAAAGAAATGGTTGGTTTTAGAGTAAGCCCTTCCCCAAATAGCGCACTACCAAATCTAGAACTGATGAGAGGTAGAGTTCACACCTGTGAACAGTGGCAAAGACCAAAATAGCGAGTAAGAACTGACTGAGAAATGTCTGTTGCTCATTGGTTCAGTGGCCCCAAAATCCCACATAAACCCTTACAACTTAATGACTGTTACCTGCAGAGGAAGGCATGACTTCAGAAATGACTCTCAAACTTTTGTAGAAAAGATTTTCCATTAAAAACTTCCAGTTTCCCACAGCAAGTGCACTGCTCTACGTTTATGAGAAAAATAGAACGATTGGACTTCACACATCAGTGCCACCCTGAGGTCTTACCTGCATCATCCCATGTCCCAGACTGCAGGCTGTGGCGTGCCCAGTGGCAGAGGAGGAGCTTCATAGTTTAGACCCTGAGCCTCCACACACTACTAAATTCTATTTCATATACATGGGAGCCCATTCGTATTCTCTATACTTTCCGTATGTCTCAAATCATTTAAGAACAAAAACTATTACTGAAAAAAAATTGTGCTGATGAGAATCATGGGTTGTTGAAAGATTCGAGTTAAAAATTTCAGTAGGATTTTATGCATGTGAAAAGCTTCTCTTTGGGCTGGCAGGACGATGCAGCTCTCTAAAGCACTGAATTCCCTAAGAAGACCAAGTCACCATATTTTGCTCTAGACTGGGGTGGAGAATGTCCCCCAGGCTGCAGACCGTATAAGACCTGTAGAATCATTTGGTCTGGCCCTGCGAAGGCACCTGCAGGCAGGTCTTGAAATTCAATAAATCTATAACAGGCTAATTTTTAAGTTGATCATTTTGTGTGGCCTGCAAATGATGTTATAAATATCCAAATAGCCCTTGGCAGAAACAAGGTTCCCCACCCCTGCTGTAAATGGATGATTTTTAAGGAATATAATCAGAAGCATTTCAGATCCTTGAGTGCATTTTTAAGAGCTTAGCAACCCTAAAATGAGGCATATATGTGAACTGTAAAATCTTATGAACATATAAAAATATCTTCTGGGAACATAAAAAATATTTGGCCTAGCAGATAAAACACCAGTTAAACAGCCTGTATCCGATGCTGGGAGTGCCTGTGTTCAATATCTAGCCCTGCTTCTGTTATTTTATTTGTTTATTTATTTGTCTGTTTATTTTTATTTGAAAGGTAGAGTTACAGAGAGAGAGAGAGAGAAAGGTCTTCCATCTGCTGGTTCACTCCCCAAATGCCTGTGATGGCCAGAGCTGAGCCATTCTGAAGCCAGGAGCCAAGAGCTTCTTCCTGATCTCCCACGGGGGTGCAGGGGCCCAAGCACTTGAGCCATCTTCCACTGCTTTCCCAGTCCATAAGCAGAGGGCTGAATCTGAAGAGGAGCAGCCGAGACATGAACCAGCACCCATATGAGGTGCCTGTGCTGCAGGCGGAAGCTTAGCCTACTATGCCATAGCCCCAGCCCCTAGCCCTAGTTCTTGACTCCAGCTTCCTGGCTCAAGTAATTTGGTCCTTGCCAGCCATGTGAGACCTCTGCTGAGTTCCTTTTCCTCCCAGCATCAGCCACAGTCAAGATCAATGTGGGCATTTGTAGAGTGAATCAGTGGATGAAAGTATGTTTGTCTCTCTGCCTCTCAAATAAATAAAAGCTAAAGGGAAAAAGAGCTCATGGGAAAATTGAATTAAAATATAAGTTTATTTAAAAAAAATATGTTCCAAGGAATATGTCATTATGCAATGCAATGTCAGCATCATGGCCTCATGTACATTGGTGATACTTGGTGGATTTTGTTTATTTAGATTGACTTCTATGACAGTTTTGCAAGCACTTTCAATTCTCAAGTTGTCTAAAATGCACAAGCATTTTTGAAAATGTTTCCATGAGGCGTATTCTGAAATCTCCTAAATGTTCCTGGACAGTAAAAATGTTTTACATAAAAAGAACATAAAGGGGAAATCTCAGTGGTTGCCCAAAGCAGAAGTAACACAGTTTTACATTTCTGAGGTTTAAAAGCTTGCTTCTGACTTTAAAAATGGTGAAAACAATTGCTTCAATTAGTAAAAGGCACCCCAATGTTATAGTTTCAGATGTAAATGCTATTCCTGACTTGAATGATCTTTGCTTGAGAAAACTTGGTTCTTCTTTGTTTGAATAATTTATTCTGGCAAGCTTTGAATGTGTTTTCCTGAAGTCACTCCCTGATTGGAAGAATGAGGTTAATATTTTCTGATATATGCAAATTCAATAGTACCTATATTATATTTTTTCTACTTGTGAAGATTTCTTTTTATTTATTTGAAAGGCAGAGTCACAGAGAAAGATCTCCCGTCTGCTGGTTCACTCCCCAAACAGCCACAATGGCCAAGGGTAGGCAAGGCTGTAACCGAGAGCCAGGAGTTTCATCCAGGTTTCCCACATGGGTGGCAGGGGTCCAGGAATTTGGGCCATCTTCTGTTGCTTTCTCAGGCACATTAACAGGGAACTGGAGCAGAAGTGGAGCAGCCAGGACTTGAACTGGCACCCATATGAAATGCTGGCTTTGCAGGCAGTGGCTTAACCCTCTGTGCCACATCAGCCCCCAATTTTTTTCTGCCTTTGAAGATGCATGGTGGTTAGTAGGTTTTGAAATTTGTCCTGGGGCCGGTGCTGTGGCATAACAGGTAAGGCCGCTGCCTGCCATGTCAGCATCCCATATGGGTGCCAGTTTGAGTCCCAGCTGCTCCACTTCCAATCCAGCTCTGCTATGGCGTGGGAAAGCAGTGGAAGGTGGCTCAAGTGCTTGGGCCCCTGCACCCATGTGGAAGACTCGGAAGAAGCTCCTGGCTCCTGGCTCCTGGCTTCAGATTGGCTCAGCTCTGCCCATTGCGGCCAATTAGGGAATGAACTAGCGGATGGAAGACCTCTCTCTCTCTTTCCCCACCTCGCCTTCTTTCTGTAACTCTGACCTTCAAAATAAATAAATAAATCTTTAAAAAATAAAATAAAGTGAAACTTGTCCTCTGATTACAAAGGAAAAGTGTGTACATGCCAGAATTTAGAATATGTAGAGAAGCCAATAGAATTGAATAAAAATTCTCTGTTAATTCTTTAATACATGTCTCTCTGTGTGTTTGCTAGCTGTATGCTCACACACACACACACACACACGTACACACAAGCAAATCCAAAGGGAGTCAACTGGTAAAACATTGTACAAAAGCATACATAAACCGGGGTAATAATGATAAATATTTTGTAATATGATTTTCTAAGAATATCACTTGATATGATCTTTCTTAGAATTTTAAATGTGGGGAAGATCCAAACATTAAGAAGTTCAAGTTTTACTTTCATGCTTGAATTGTAATGGTAATGCATTTGTAGTGTAAAATTTGCCTTTGAAACCTTCTTCCTAAAATGATAGAATTCTCACAGTACTTGCCAGAAATATACAAATGGGATTTTATTTGTGCACTTGCTTGTTTTAATTGAACTGCTTGAATTTGGCTCTTAGAATCATTCTTTATGGTTTGAAAAGCCACAATTTAAAGATATTGTTATTTTTAGAGATATCTGTAGTAATTATAGCTAAAGAGAAAAAATGGACACCAGTATCTACCTATACTTGTGTTTTCCCATCTGTGCTTTCCAATGCTTCCCAAAAAATGTATAATAAAGTTATAATAAGAAAAATAGATTATTCAAAAAGAAATAACAATGATGGACCATTTCCCACCTGATGGAGAACCTCATGAGCACTCTGGATTCCAGAAATAACAGTCTTTTTTGGTTTTACTCAATGACACATCTTTGAGGTCAAACTCTCAGAGTTTGTTCCATCTCTTACAAAACAGCATGAGTGGGAATTTGGTTTTCCTTTTAGGGTAAAGTTTCTACAAAGGTTGCTGATAAAACTCTTTCATTTTACTTTCTGCAAAACAATTCAGTTACTTCTGGAGTGAAACTGAGATGAAGCTGATAATGGGGCTCAATTCTTCAACTTTAAAGCAGAAGCTAAGGTCATAAAGACATGGAGTCCTAAAATACTCTCCAAAGCTCAGCACTGCAGCTCAGAGCTCTTGGACGCATTTGCTGAGAACTTGCAGTTGGCTCATGTGTCACCTCCACTTGGGCCATTTTTGCATCCTTTAAAAGGCACAGAATCTTAGGGAGGGGCTCATCCTTGCACGAACCTTGAACACTTCTTGTCTTTCAGAATAAAAGAAACCTGAGGGAAGAGTTGTGAAACTAAGAATAATAGTGATCTTGTTGACATGTATGTGAACTTGGGCAATTTAAAGTCCTTCCAAAGCACACTGTGTTCACTCCACTGGGGGAGAAAGGTGGTCTCCTTCAGTGGAAGATCCTTGTCTACATTTAATCGACATCCATGCAACTCAGCCTAATACATGATTTATTGCTAAACAGGCAGAAGTACCTCTAACCAACAGCCTGCCCATTTGTCCACTTTAACATCCCACACACTGAGCCTTGGCTGATATCACAGGATCCACTCTGCTGTCCTCTCTGAGTTTGGGTTCCAGCTGTGAAGGTTCAGGATGAACCAGGGAAGATAAGCCTGCTTTAAAGTACAGGAGAAATCTATTGGCACAGAATAGAAGTTGTGTTCTTTATTGGCGTTGTGCAAACAGCTGTCGTACTCGGTTCTCCCAGCATTGCTTTCTTTTCTTAAAATGATGACAGTTCTCATGCAATTGCCAAACTAAGGCAAAAGGAAACTTTCTCAATCTTTATGATGCTTTCATCAGATAACCAATATAAAATATCTTCCAGAATACTCTGTCTCTTCAGACTTTAGAGTTTGTTCTTGGGAAGTTAGAGATGAACCAAGATGGCCTTAATAAATCTCCCTAGCATTGTAAATACTTAGTTTCTGCTTCTTGTTCCCTCGAAGCAGTTGGCCAAGTGGCACCAACAATTTCAATATTTTGGTCTTTCTCAACTATGCCATTGCATGGAGAATATTATAGCTCAGTAAATTGTTGGAGAAAGTTAGGATGGGAAAATGTATGCCAGACCTTTAATCAGGTGTTGAATTGGGACTGAAAAGAGGGAGATATTTGCTCTCTATAGAGTGAAATTTTAGGGAGAGCATTTAAAAATGACTTTTGGCAGTCATTAAAGAGCAGAAATTGGATAGCATTGTTTGGGGGTGGGAGTCGTTAGAAGATTTTTTTTTTTTGATTGGTTTATTGTTGAGGGTTTTGGGAGGGCAAAGAGTTTGGGGAATTTTTTTTTTCTGTTTTATTTTTGTTTTGCTTTTCCTGAAATGCTCTTAGACCCTTTAATCGTTTGCTAGAGCTGCCATAACAAAGTGCCACAGAAGTGTAAGATCAAGGTGCCAGCAAGGTTGATATCGTCTGAGGCCTCACTCCTTGGCTAGGTGAGGCGTCTGCCTGTGTCCTTACATCATCCTCCCGCTGTGTGTTACCCATGTCCAAATGTCCTCTTTTTATAAAGACACCAGTCACGTTGGATTAATAACATAATCCAATAGTCACTGGATTGGATAATCATTGGATTAAAGTTCATGATAATGACCTCCTTTTAACTTCACTAGTTTAAAAAAAAAAAAAAACAATCTCCAAATATGGCAACATTGAGGTCCTGGGAGCTGGGGCTTAAGTGTGTGAACCAGGGAGGACACGACACAGACCATAACAACCCTGATTCCTGGTCTTCATGCCAAATCGGTAAGACCTTTGCTTTGTAATGACCAGAAGGGAAGGAGAGAAGGCAGGGAGGTTTTGTGGATTTTTACGAGAACCAGCTAGCTTCTGCAGCAGATCTTTGGTTTCCCTTCCTTCGATATGGAAGGATCTAGAAGTCCACTGAGAACTTTGAGAACACTTTGCTTTCCTTCCCTATCTGTTTTTGTTTCCTGCAATTAAAAACAGGTCCTCTGTCCATTTGCAAATCTCAGGAAACTGCTCTCCCTTGTTCACATGTGTGACAGGAGAGAGCTCAGTCGAATGGCCAATCTGACTTTTTGAGTGGCAGCATCTCGCAGCTCACTGGCCATGTGTTGAATGCCCACCATGCTCTGCACCTCTTGCCACATGCAGACACGTCTTCTCATTTGCTCCTCATAACATCCCTGTGGAGTACCCTATGAACCTTGTTTTGCAAGTTAGATCATGGAATCTTGGGCAACTTTGGTGATTTGGTTCAAGTGATTTGTGTAAGCCTAGTTCACTATGGAGAAAGGATTGAATCCAAGCAGTCTCATTCTAGAACCTGAGCTCTTACTGTCTCCACCATGAATTTCCCTAATCTTGTTGGTAGAGAAGAAAACTGTGTGTGGAAAGGCGACCACATTGTTCTCAGTGCTCAATACAGAGAATTGTCTCAAGGCTCCCCAGAAGAGCTAGGTTCCAGCTGCAGATTTGCCAACTCTTGTAAGCTGATCTGGTCTCAGCAAATTATCTTCTGGAGCTTATATCCCTGTATGTAGAATGAGAGAATTGGATTATTTCCATGGTTCTCAAACATGTGGACTGAAAGTCACAAAAAGAAACAATTTTTTTGCAGCCCACTACACACACATACACTGCATAACTGGAACAAGTGCTTCCTGAGATGCTCATCCTTATTATATGTGAATGTCCTCTGATATTTTCTTTTTTGCCAGAAAACTTTAATTTAAGGTATACAAACTTCATGCATTTCATAAATACAAGGTTAGGAACACTGACCACTGTACCCACCCTCTCACCCTTCTTACTCCTCCCTCTCCTATTCCTATTATTTTTTACTAAGACCTATTGTCAGTTAATTTTATACATAAAAGATTAACTCTGTAGTAAGTAAAGAGTTCAACAAATACTATGGAAAAAAAATATTTTCCTTAACAGTCGAGTCAAGGTCTGTTCAAAGTCATCGCATCTCAGTATGTCAATTTCACTTCTATAGATTTCCTTTGAAGCATTCTATTAGTTATCACAGATCAGGGAGAACATATGGTATTTGTCCTTTTGGGACTAGCTTATTTCACTAAATATGATGTTTTCCATTTTCATCCATTTTGTCGAAAACAACAGGATTGCTTTTATTTTTTTACCACTGTGTAGTATTCCATGGTATACATATCCTATAATTGTGTTATCAAGTCTTCAATTGATTGAAATTTGGGTTGATTCCACATCTTAGCCATTGTGAATTGAGCTGTAATAAACATGGCGTACAGATAAGTCTTTCCTATGCTGATCTCATTTCCCTTGGATAAATTCCCAGGAGTGGGATGGCTAGGTCATATGGTAGGTCTATATTCTGATTTATGAGGTATATCCATACTGTCTTCCACAGTGGCTGTATCCCTTTACATTCCCACCAACAATAGACTAGGGTTCTTATATCCCCACATCCTCACCAGCATTTGTTGTTTCTTGATTTCTGTATGAAAGCCATTCTAACAGGAGTGAGGTCTTTTCTTCAATTTGTTAACATGATGTATCACATTGATTTGCAAATCCTACTTGGTCTGAGTGAATGATCTTTCTGATGTGTTGTTGGATTTGATTGGCTAATATTTTGTTGAGGATTTTTGCATTTATGTTCATCAGGGAACTTGGTATGTAGTTGTCTTTCTCTGTTGTATCATTTTCAGGTTTAGGAATTAAGGTGATGCTGGCTTCATAGAAGGAGTTTGGGAAGATTCCCTCCCCTTCAAGTTGTTTCAAATAATTTGAAAAGAATTGGAGTTAGTTCTTTTTTTTTTTTTTTTTTTTTTTTTGGTTAGTTGGGACAATGGTATATCCATTTTATTTATTTTTTCAAAAACTCAGCTCTTCATTTCACTGATCTTTTGTACTTTTTTGTTTAAATTTTGCTGATTCTTCTCTAATTTTAATTATTTCTTTCCTCCTACTAGTTTTGGGTTTGGTTTGATGTTTTTGTAAATCCTTGAGATGCACTGACAGCTCATTTATTTGGTGCCTTTGCAGTTTCTTCTTGTAGGTACTAATTGCTATAAACTTTCCTCTTATCATTGCGTTTGCTGTATCTTATAAGTTTTTTTTTTTTTTATCTTTTATTTAATGAATATAAATTTCCAAAGTACGTCTCATGGGTTACAATGGCTTTCCCCCCCATACCGTCCCTCCCACCCACCACCCTCCCCTTTCCCACTCCCTCTCCCCTTCCATTCACATCAAGATTCATTTTCGATTATCTTAGTATACAGAAGATCAGCTTAGTATACCTTATGTATCTTATAAGTTTTGATAAATTGTATTGTCTTCATTCATTTCCAGAAATTTTTAATTTGTCTTTTGATTTCTTCAATGACCCACTGTTCATTTAGGAGCATATTGTTCAGTCCCCATGAGTTTCCATATGTCCTAGAGATTCTTGAGTTGTTAATTTCCAGCTTCATTCCACTGTGGTCTGAGAAGATGCATGGTGAGATTTTAGTTTTTTTGAGTTTGCTGAGACTTTCTTTATGGCCTATTATGTGTTCTATCCTAGAGAAAGTTCCCTGCACTGGTAACAAGAATGTATATTCTGCAACAGTAGTATGAAAAGTTCTGTAGATATCTGTTAGGTCCATTAGGTCTATAATGTAGATTAACTCTGTAGTGTCCTTGCTGATTTTCTGTCTGGTTGATCTGTCCACTGATGAAATTAGGGTATTGAATTCCACCATTACTATTGTATTGGAGTCCGTGTCTCCCTATAGATCTGTTAACATTTCTTTGAAAGGAGGTACCTTTCTCTGAAGGGAGGAGAGAACTTCCACTTTGACCATGGCCTTGTCTAAATATGATCAGAGTCGGTGAACTCAGGGGGCTTCCATAGCCTTGGCAGCTCATGACAAGAGCCTAGGGTGATTACTGAGGCCATAAACAAGAGTGTCAATTTGTTAAGTCAACAACAGGAGTCACTGTGCACTTACTCCTCATGTAGGATCTTTGTCCTTAGTGTGCTGTACATTGAGATTTAATGCTATAACTAGTACTCAAACAGTATTTTTCACTTTATGTTTCTGTGTGGGAGCAAACTGTTGAAATCTTTACTTAATGTATGCTAAACTGATCTTCTGTATATAAAGCGAATTGAAAATGAATCTTGATGTGAATGGAAGGGGAGAGGGAGTGGGAAAGGGGAGGGTTGCGGGTGGGAGGGATGTTATGGGGGGGAAGCCATTGCAATCCATAAGCTGTACTTTGGAAATTTATATTCATTAAATAAAAAAAAATTTCTTTTAAATAGCCAGGTTCTGTAATTAGGTGCATATACAGTTATAATAGTTACATCTTCCTGTTGAGTTGATCCCTTAATCATTACCTAGTGTCCTTCTTTGTCTCTTTTAGCAGTTTTTGTGTTGAAGTCTATTTTGTCTCATGTTAGGATGGCTACACCAGTTCTTTTTTGGTTTCTGTTGGCATGGAATATCTTTTTCCATCCTTTCACTTTCAGACTGCATGTATCTTTGTTGGTGAGATGTGTTTCTTGTAGGCAGCAAATAGATTGATTCATTCAGCCAGTCTGCATCTTTTAACTGGAGAGTTGAGCCATTTACAGTCTGTGTGACTATTGATAAGTAATTACTTGGCCCTGGCTTTTTTCCATTAATATTCCTATTGTTTACTTTGGATTTCCTTTATACTTTTACTGGGAGATTTTCTGCCTTCACTTTTCTTTCATAGTGATGACCATGTTTCTGCGTGTAGTACATCTTTAAGCATCTTTTGTAAGGCTGGATGTATGGTGTCAAATTCAGTTTCTGTTTATTATGAAAGGTCTCTATTTCACCTTCATTAATAAATGAAAGCTTTTCAGGGATGACAGTTTTTGTCTCTTAAGACTTGAACTATATCTTGCCATTCTCTCCTAGCCTGTAGGGTTTCTGATGAGAAGTTAGCTGTGAGTCTAATTGGAGCTCTTCTGAAAGTAATCTGGCATTTCTCTCACACACATTTTAAAATATTTTCTTTCTGTTTTACTCTGGAGAATTTGACTACAGTGTGTCATGATGAAGATCTTTTCTTGTCGTGTCTGTTAGGAGTTCTATGCGCTTCCTGTACTTCAGCATCCATTTCTTTCTCCAAATTAGAGAAATTTTCAGTCATCATTTCACTAGCAAGGCCTTCCAATCTATTTTCCCTTTCTACTCCTTCGGGAACTCTTAAAACCTATATGTTGGGTTGTTTGATAGTATCCCATAAATCTCCAACACTGTTTTTTACTTTTTGAACTTTTTTTTTGTCTGATTGTAAAATTTCCAGAGATTTGTTTTCTAATTCGAATATTCTTTCTTCTGCCTCACTGGCTCTGTTAAGGCTTTCCACCACATTTTTTATTTGTTCTATTGAATTCTTCATTTCCAGTATTTCATTTTTATTTCTTTTTAAAAGTCTCAATTTCATGGGAAAAATTTTCATTCATGTTATGTATGGATTTCTTTAATTCATGGATTTGCTTTTGATTACTCGTAAGTAATCCTGTGATCAATATTTTGAATTCCATTTCCAGAATTCCATTTCCAGAATTTCTTCAACCCTTTAATCTTCACATTCTAGTATTGAAGTGTTATTGTGTTCCTTTGGGGGCATCATGTTGTCTTCCTTATTCTTGTTTCTTGAATTGCTGCATTTATTTTTAGGCATTTGTGGAGATACTTTTTCCCCTTGTGGTGGATTTCATCTTTGGACAATGCCTCTGTGGCTTAGTGGAGTGTCAGCTTTTTCAGTGAATACCCAGAGGTGTGTGCTGGGTGTGTTGAGTGCTCCAGGGTGAGGGGAATATCCAAGGTGGTACCCAAGTTGGGCATGTTTAATCTCCCTTATTTTTTTTTATCAGAGGGCAGGTTTGATCAACTCTGTTGGCGTAGTCTCATGCTCAGCTCCTCTCCTCCAAGGAGACCAATGCCTGGGCACTAGTCCCAGTGGGTATAATATTCATCCGCACCACCACAAGAACCACACAAAGGATCTGTGCAGTCCTCAGTGTGAGCATGGATCCTGCAGCAATGACCTTCACCAGGGAATCGGGCAACCCAAGCATGTGGAGCTGCCCACAGTGACTTCCCAAAGTCCCAGCCACACCTTGTACCCACCCCTATAGCCACAGTGTTTTCACAGTGCTGGCACACAAGGCTCCCACAGTCACAAGCATCCATCCCCCTGTTAATTCTCCCAAACAGACTCGGGCATCTCTTCTTGGCTGGTTACTGGGTGTGCAGATACAGGTTGGCCCAGCTGTTAACGAATGTCCAAAATGGCACCCTTCCTCTCTTAGCTAATTACAGGACACTGGTGCCAGGTGGTTGGGGAGAGAGAGATGCCCCTTTTTTTTCCTCTAGGTTGGCAGGTACTCCTAGCCAGACTCACACCAGGTTTTTCCTGTAGCTTTATTGCCAGTGGTTTGGGCTGCTGACATCTGGCCTCACCTCCCTCTTCAAAGCTGGTGCTGAGGCTCTTGGCTGCTGGGGTCCTAAGTTGTGTGCATCCATGACCTCCGCATAGGTCCAAAGTGTCCCTCTAATTTGCTTGGAGTTTCCTCTGCAATTTTCCCCTGACTCTTCACTGAGACCATGCTCTCTCCACTTTTTTAAACTATCTTCCCCTAGACTAGAGCAGTAAGCTCCCTCCCTATTCCATTATTTGGAATCCTCTCTGATATTTTATAATCTATTTTAATGGCTGTTTTTAAATTAATTTACTTTTATTTATTTGAAAGGGGGAGAGAGAGGTCTTTCATCTGCTGGTTCAATCCCCAAATACCCACAACAGCCAGGCCTGGGCCAGGCCAACACCAGGAACTCCATCTGGGTCTCTCAAGTGGGTGATGGGGATTCAAGTACTTGACCATCATCACCTGCTGCCTCCCAGGGTGTTCATAAGCACAAAGTTGGAATTGGAAGCAGAGCCAGGACTCAAGCCCAGGCTTTCCAGTACAGGATGTAGGTGTCCCAAGTGGAATCTTAACCACTGTGCCACCTTGTCCACCCTATTTTTCAGGAAGCTAATTGTGACCTGCTCAATTACTTCTGTCAGAAAGCTGAGCTAAGTAACCTGATTTAGACTCCTGTGATCCTAAAGTCTTCTTAGCCTATGTGGATGTTTCTAGGAGCCCCTCTGATCTTAAATACACATATATTTGAAACAAATAAATATTACATATTGTAGGAGACAGCATCCTTTTTACATCCAGGATGAGCTAAGTGCACCATACCATAACAAACACTTATTCTTATTGTGCGCCAAGGAATTAAAACACTTAATCTTATGCGCCAAGGAATTAAAATTCAGTATCTGGGTCCAGCACTGTAGCATAGTGGTAAAGCCACAGCCTGCACCACCAGCATCCAACACCAGTTGCTCCATTTCCTAGCCAGCTCCGTGCTAATGGCCTGGGAAAAGCAAAAAACAGTGTCCCAAGTACTTGGGTCCCTGCACCTACATGGGAGACCCTGGTGAAGGTCCCAGTTCCCAGCTTTGGCCTGGACCAGCCCTGGCCATTGCAGCCATCTGGGGAGTGAACCCACAGATGGAAGTGCTCTCTCACTCTCTTACTCTCTCTCTCTCTCTGTAACTCTTTCAAATAAAGTGAATCTCTTTTTCAAAAAGTTCAATATTTCTTGTAGCCTCTAGATCATAAGTATTATCATCTATGCTTTATGGATGAAGAAACCAAAGAGCAAATCAAGCAAAGTGTTCAGGGCCCCATGAGCAGTAAGTGGCAGAGCTGAGATTTGAACAAAGGTTGTGCTGACAGCAAAGCCTTCACCTCCAACATTTTCTTTAGGGGAGGAGTTGAGAAGCTGCTGCAACTGTTCATAACTTCTTCCCTGATAGTTTTGCTGTCTGTGGCAGAAGTGACTGTCCTTTGCGGTGTGAGGCCACCACTGTAGCAGGGATTAAAATCACAGAGGGTGCCGGCGCCGCGGCTCGCTAGGCTAATCCTCTGCCTTGCGGCGCCGGCACCCCAGGTTCTAGTCCCGGTCGGGGTGCCGGATTCTGTCCCGGTTGCCCCTCTTCCAGGCCAGCTCTCTTCTGTGGCCCGGGAAGGCAGTCGAGGATGGCCCAAGTACTTGGGCCTGCACCCCATGGGAGACCAGGAGAAGCACCTGGCTCCTGCCATTGGATCAACGCGGTGCGCCGGCCGCAGTGTGCCGGCCGCGGCGGCCATTGGAGGGTGAACCAACAGCAAAGGAAGACCTTTCTCTCTGTCTCTCTCTCTCACTGTCCATTCTGCCTGTCAAAAAAAAAAAAATCACAGGGGAAAGGGTGGGATTTCCAATGCCCCACCTCCACCCAGGTCACCGCCAGACAGGCTGAATCTGAATCTCCAGGTTTGGGGTCCAAAACCCCATCCCCACCCCCAAGTGGTTCCAAGATGTAGCCATGAGTGGAAGTGATTGCTCTGAGATCTCGGATAAAGAAATGAAAAAGCTACAAAGAGCCTCCTCGTCTTACTTCCTGCAAAGTAGATTTAATAAAATGCAATGTAAAGCTCTCCAGCTACTTTTAGAAGCTGAATATAGGACCTTTGTTTTTGTTTTTGTTTTGTTTTTTTCCTGTGGAGCACACACATATCAAAAAATCCAAGAAACATCCTTGAATCTGCTCCTGACACCTGAAGAGAGGTGAGCGTGCTGAGCAGATGGGGTGGGAGTGGGAGGGGAGATGTTCAGAGCAGCTGCAGGGTTAGGGAGCGCCTGGCTCTGTGATGCTGTGAAGTGCTTGGCTCTGTGCAGCCTCATCACTCAACTCACATGGTTTTCAAAGTTCTTTCCTCATGACTAGAGACGTCAGTGCTTGCATTAATCATGAGTGACATGACCAGTAGTCACAGGCCCAGAGGACTGGGGATGATGTAGGAAGCCAAACCAAAGTCCTTATAAATAGAGTAAGGCACCATGTTTTCTTAGAAAGAGCCTTAGTGAAAGGTTTCCACGTTTTCCCATGGGCTGTGGTGAAACCAAGGACACCCTCCCTCAGCATCCCCACAGGAAGAGGAAGACATCCTTTTCCCTAACCTCTCGCTCACCGCACCTTTCCAGTGTGTGATCTGTGGGTTCCATTTGAATACATACTCAGACTGAGTTCCCAGCTCCTGGCTTTGGCCCTCAGCCTGGGACCATTGCAAGAATTTGGGGACTGAACTGCAGATGGGAGAAAATATGTATCTATTTCTCTCTCTCTCTCTCTCTCTAATAAATTTTTTAAAAATTTTTTCAAAGACAGTAGAATTGATATGCACTGCATGTCACCATTTTCCGTGCAAGAGTCTCCCAGATTGGAGCTGTAGTAGACTGGTGGGCTTTTCCCGCATCTCAAGAGACAGCACCAAGTCTGGTTTTTAAAGATCATCAATTTTCATAGATCTGAGAGTGAAAACAGTACTGTTGTCCCTCAGTATCCATGGAGGATTGGGTTTAGGACCCCTACACATAGCCAAATCCACAACGCTCAGGTCCATTCCAGAAAATGGCATAGTATTTGCATATAGCATATGCCCATCCCCTGTATGCTTTAAAACAGCTCTCACTTACTTATGATGCATAGGAATGCTATGTAAGTAATCTTTCCACTGCATTGGTTAGGGAGTAATGACAAGAAATAAAAGCTAGACGTGTTCAGTGCAGAGGCAGTATTTTTCCCAAGTAACTTCTATCAGCGCTGGTTGAAGCTGAAGCTGGGGAAACATGGATGAACATAGCAAAGAACAAATCTGCTCCTTTCTCAAAGATACTTATGTTTCTTTCTGAGCCCGGGGCCTAAGACCAGGAGAAGTACCTGGCTCCTGCCATCGGATCAGCGCGGTGCGCCAGCCGCAGCGCGCAAGCTGCAGTGCGCCGGCCGCGGCGGCCATTGGAGCGTGAACCAATGGGCCAGCATGCGGAGAAGTGCAATGCTGCTGTCACAGCCCTCTATGTCTCACTGCTTGCAGAATGACGTGGCTGCGCTTCTGAAACCCATATCGGAAAAGATTCAGGAAATCCAGACCTTCCGAGAGAGAAACCGGGGCAGTACCATGTTTAATCATCTTTCGGCCGTCAGCGAGAGCATCCCCGCCCTTGGATGGATCGCCGTGGTGAGTCCAGCCACGAGATTGCCCTGTGCCTCCTCACCTTGCTGGAGTGTTTGGGAGCACTCACGGCCGCCTCCACGCTCCCTCTCCACAATGTCCACAGTCTCATGCGCTGGCGGAAGAGGCCTGCTCAGGCCAAGGGCATCTGCCTTTTCTCTTTGAAGTTCAATGCTTTCTGTTCTGAGTGCCAAGTGTTTCAGTCGCCCTCCCAGAGCAGAATTTGCTTCCATCTTTCAAGTCCATGTCTCCCTTGCTTTTCTTCTTTAAGACTTTTTCTTTCTTATCCTGTTTTTTTTTTTTTTCCCCTTCTATGCTTGGGTGATGGTCCTGTTTTCTCAGTCCCCCAAACCTGGTCCTTATGTCAAGGAGATGAATGACGCCGCCACCTTTTACACTAACAGGGTTTTAAAGGACTACAAACACAGGTACGTGCTGCCTTTGCCTATTCACATGTTCAGTTGGTCAGTGGTTAGACATTTGTCCCTAAAACAGGGTACTTTACAAAGTTGGTGGGAAAAAAATGAAATTTAATGACAAGCTTATTTTGGTGCTAAAAAATTTGGAAATTCATGCATACGAGGGGGTCTTCGACAAGTTCGTGGAACATATATATTATGAACAAACTCTGCAGAGATTTCAAGGTTATTTTTTGCACCAAAATAAATGTATATCTTTCCCCACAAGCTTTCCAAAGTATTCTCATATAGTTCATTGCTAATCCCTTTCTAGGGTTCTATGTAGTGGGCTATAAACTTAAGAAAAATATCCCATCTTGGCAGGGAAAGGCAGCTGAAAGTAGCATCAGACATCCAGGTAATAATCTGAATTTTAGAAAGCCTGCCTTGCCCAGTTCTCTTGTAATGAGTAACCCCTCCCCATTGAAGTGCATGTCACTACATGCATATCCCTGTAATGCCCAACTGTATGTGGTTACAGAATTTAATCTGTGCCTCAGTTCAGTCCCTACCTGAGTGTACGCTGGGGCCATGGGTGTGAGTGGTCCTCCCCACAGCCGAGAGGGTTGGGATCTTCTGTGTTCTTGTGCACAGAGAGTCAGTCTTTCTCCTTTGATGTCAACTGTTAAGTAGAAAATGTGCTCTGAGAGCATCCAGGGTAAATCAGTGAAGCTCAGGGGACCCTCCCTCCCCCGGAGACCATACAGTAAGGCAGGCCAGTGCAGCCAGAGGTGCAGATCATGTGACATCCAGAAGCAGTCACCCCAGCCCAAGTCACCCTTGAGCTTCTGGGGTGGTGACGAGATGAAAACACAAGCACTCTGCACCCTGACCACCCATGTGGGTGCTCTCAGGGCCACAGCTCCTTCTGTGCGCTGTGGTCATTTGCAGCTCATGGCTGCCCCCCCACTGGACTGGCCCATCGGCGAAGAAGTTGAAAGGCAGACTCCTTGTGGTTTAAACAGAAGGTGAGCTCTGAGCTCCCTCGGCCCTGGGTCGACGGGTTGCTTTTGCTTTTTCAGTATGCGAACAGAGCAAGTCAGTTACCTGGGCCTTATCAAGTCATGGCTTCTCTCTCTGAGTTCTGATCTCTAAAATCCTCGTCTCCGTGCCACAGCTTAGACCAGGGTAATGAAAACCAAGGAAAGGTTTGCAGCCTCCGGTGTTTGCTTAGGTCCTGCTCGATTTGCGATCTCTTAGAGACTGACTTCAGGTGAGAGGTGCCATGCTGTTATTCCTTACTACAAGTTTTGCTAGGATTTAAGTCAAAACAATACTGCCATGGTTAAGAGGAAATTAATTTACATATGTAGATTAGGACTTCATCGGTTGTTAAGTATTTTAATAGAGAGTAGATTACGTGGGCAACATACTGTTTTTATAATGTCTGCATATGTGTATGTGTGGTGTGCACACATAGGAATATACATGTATGTGTATTAAATGCCCATATGAATAAATATATGTGTGCATGTATATTGAGGTAATTTTAATGCTCTAATAGTTGTAACGTATTCTATACTGCTTCCTAGGTGCAAGACTCTCACAAAATCCTCTAGGGTAAGGAAACTTACGAAGCTATACTCAGGCCTTTGAGTGAAACTAAGTGACAGATTGTTCATAGATTTGATGAATATAATCAATAAATCCAAAAAGTGTAGACTGAAACCACACCCATGTTTTTCCTCTTTGAAGAGTGGAGGACCTGTGACCTCAGTTCTCCACTCAGTTTTCCTAAACGATGTGCCTTAATGCAGTGGATCTAAACACGTTGGTACTTCATGCAGTGGGAAGAAACATGTATTTCCAAGAAGGCAAAACAAAATATGTCCAGGGACAGTCATCACTGACATGAGCTTGAGTAAGACAGATTTCCTCCAGTGCTTATCTTCAGATTAATGCCTTAGGGACCTATTTTAATTGTTGTTAACTCAAATGTCATCATTTTCATATTTACCACCACTTTCTAAACGGAAAAAGTACATATTATGGGTGAAAAAAAAAAAAAGAAATGCAACCATATTCACCTGTCTGTAAGTTTAACATTTCCCCCAATTCTGTATGTGAATCCAGTTATAAAAGGTAAGCATTTCACTAGTTCTTGACTCAATAAAATAGAGACAAAAATACTTGTCCTGCCAGCCGTGTTTGCATTGTGAAATTACAATGCGTTAAGTGAATGTTCCTTTAGAAGTATGGTGTTACACACTTGTAAAAAATCATGTTCCTCACAATAGCCGCCCCTTCAACAGTCATAATGAATAGAATTCTCCAATTCAGTTGTACTGTTAACTAAATAATTCAACCGAATCATTACAATTACAGTACCATTCTCATTCCCGAGAGCCTATGCTTTTGCATTCTGTATCAGAAATAGTAAAAGAAAAGTGGCCTTCTGTCCACGTTCACCTCACAGAGGTGATGGCAGGAATGGGACCAAGACGCATGGCCTGAGGAGCCAGCCAGTCCCCGGCTCTGAGTCACACACGGCCTCCCCTCCCGAGGGGACTGGGCCATCTTCCCATCCGGGGTCTCCCCGGACAGAAAGCCAATTGCTGCAGGGCCGTTTGGAGCACTGGTTACTGATAACCCTGTCCCCCTCCCCCAATCTTTTTAAAAATTTTGTTGTAGATCCTAACTGCCCTCTCTCCCACTCTCTTTCATAACAAAGTGATTTGCGCCATGTGGATTGGGTGAAGTCGTATCTGAACATTTGGAGTGAGCTTCAGGCATACATCAAGGAACACCATACCACAGGCCTCACCTGGAGCAAAACAGTAAGTACCAGGCCCTCTTCTACCTGTTAACCAAGACCACAAAAATATGTATAGCAATCTGCATACCATGTGACCTGCTAATCTCACACCTTAGAATTGACTTCAAGGAAATGAGAAGGTAGAATGTACATGTAGAAACTGCTTATGGAAATGTCATTTGTTATAGGACAATCTGGGAACCATCTATGTGATGTAAAGGAAAACTGCTTAAGTTGTGTATAGAACACCCCACAGTGTTTAAGAATAACATACATGAGGAGTCCATGGAAAATGATTTGCTGGTTAATAACTGATGGTCAAGTGCACAAATACTAGCGTGGTGTATGTGTGAAGAACCTGGGAGGGGCTGGCATGCGACACAGAGGTTAAGTTGCCACCTGGGGCCAGCGTCCCGTATTGAAGTGGCTGGTTCTGAGTCCGGGCCACTTCCCTCCCCATCCAGCTTCCTGCTGATGCGCTTTCTGGGAGGCAGCAGGTGATGGCTCAAGTACTTGGGTCCTTGCCATCCACGTGAAGACCCAGATGGAGTTCTGGGCTCCTAGTTTGAGCCTGGCCCAGCCCCAGCTGTTGTGGGCATTTGGGAAGAGAAGCAGCAAGTGGAAGACCTCTCCCTCCCCCTCTCTCTTTCTCTCTCTCTCAGTCTCTGCCTTTCAAATAAAATGAAAATAAAGAATATTTTTTAACAAAAATATAAAAAGGAGACTGTGTGATAAGAATTGAAGACAACAGGAGAGCTTGGAAAAGGGTGTAATTTTTTAAGGAGGTGGAATTACAAATAAAATGCCTGTTTAAAATATTCTTAATTCTTCTTTTGGTGTGTGAAAATTTTTAGCACAATGTTTTTGAATACCTGGCAGTCTTAGTACTATGAATGACATCTGAGCCAAAGAGTAAAATCACAGCCTCTCTCTGCACCCCCTTCAGTCCCCTTGTGGGAGGCTGGTCTGGCCTTTGCCTCTTCTCCAGCTTGTCTCTCATGTCATCCCATGTCTCACATGCATCCCAGCCATCCCTAACTGCTATAGCACCCTGAACAGGTGCCATGCTTAAGTCAGAACAAATGAAATTGTTGTTGTCTGAAAATTTGCCAGACTCATAGTGTTTAGCCTCTGTCGCGAAGTCCTGGACATACTTGTGTACCACGCAGGATAACTTGGTTCCCCCAGCAAGCAACCCCAGCCCTTCTCCATGTCTCAGCCCAAACATCACCTCTCTGGGGAAAAACAAAAAAAAGTTTTACTTATTTGTTTGAAAGAGTTACAGAGAGAGAGAGAGAGAGAGAGAGAGATATTCCATCTGCTGGTTCACTCCTTAAATGGGTGCAATGGCTGGGGCTGGGCCAGGCCGAAGCCAGAAGCTGAGAGCTTCATCTAGGTCTCCCACACTGGGGATAGAGGCCCAAGCACTTGGGCCATCTTTCACTACTTTCCCAGGCCAATCACAGGGAGCTGGATCAGAAGTGGAACAGCCGGGACTTGAACCGCTGACCATATCAGAAGCAGGAGATGGCTTTACCCGCTACACCACGGTGCCGACCCCCAAAATCACCTCTTTAAGAAACTTCCACTGCTTTCCCGTCAGCTCCCCATCTGGCTTCTGTGACTGTCCTCAATGCCTCCTTTGTTTCTTGACTAGTCCTCAGTCGCAGCCTTTAGCGTGTGGAGTTGTAATTTTCGGTGTGCTTTTTTGACTCTCCCACTGGATTGCAAACTCAGTCTCTGTCTCCAGCCCTTAGTGTAGTGTCTGAGCCCGAGTAGGTGTGCAGTGAATGGCTAAATGGTGAATGAGGGGGCTCTTAGAATCTTCCTTGCCGTTTTGGGCCTCTGTGCTTGCTTCCCATGGAAACTCCCTTTCATTACCTTTGCATAATTGATGGTCTATAGCTATTCTGAATGTTGATGTCAGCATCTTTGCTTAAGGCTGAGGCAGAGTCTGATTTTCCAAGGGACTCTGGGACTTCTCCATCTGTTCCCCGACACTCGTGCCAATGCTAACATTGACTCTTCAAGACTGAGCTTTCCTTTTGCTGTCTTCTTTGCTTCTTTTCTCCATGGCGCTGAAATGCACGGTGCAGGATACAATTAAGTGGATTAATTGTTTTTCCTCTGCCCACAACATTGTAATTTTTGAGAAAGGGGTTCACAGACATTTGAGGGGTTTTAATAAGCAAGGGTGTGTGAATATGGAGGGTGTTTATGGAGACTAATTGGGATTATTTTTCAGCCATTTCTAAAGAGATACTGGTTTGTTCTAGATCACTGTGTCATGAAGGGGAATTGTCACATCTTTGCCTTGGAGATAGGTCATCTTTAGAGAATCGTAAACATAGAATCAGGAGTCCTTGGGTCTATTATTATTTCACGGTAGATAAATGCTTAAAACAATGAGAGCCCATTTGTGGAAAATAATGTCAGCAAATGCTAGCCTATTAATTCTGTAATGGTTCCCATGGAAAATGAATAGCAAATTAGTTTGAAATTGTTGGAAAACCTTTAATGTAATATAAAAGCTGAGTAATTGTGTTTCTGAATATAAAAGAGAAGAATTGATTATTAATTGCAGAAAAATAAATGTAGTTTGCCTTTATTTGAGTGAATACTTATTCCATTATGTTCACCAGAAATGCAGGCTTTGTAAAAACAGTGACTTTCAAACTTTTTAAGACAACTCATGGAGGGAAATCCATATACACAAAACCGCACTAAAGCAAGCTTTACAACAGTGCTGTCTTTTACCACATACTTGCACTCGGTTGCTTTCTTTGTTAACTGATGTCATTTTTTATAGAATTCTGACAGAGACTCACTAACTTGATTTCGTGACCCACTCAAGGGTCACATCCCAAGTAGTGGCAGACATGTTATAGTAAATAAATATTCTATCTACACAAAATGTGAATGGTCCATAGCGCACACACGGGCATCATAGGTTGCCATAATAGTAATAGCTATTGTTTATTGAGCACATAATGTGCCCTGGGAAAATTCTATTCACAGCAGTTAAAGCATATAGTCTACTTCACTGCTTTTGAGGGAAGCGTATAATGATAAAGTTGATATGAAAGTGAAGGAAGTGAGCTTTTAGCCTCATAGTAAAGATGCTGGCATCTTACTTCAGAATGCAAGGGCTCAATTTCTGGCTCTGGCTCCTGACTCCAGTTCTCCTGCCAACGCAGACCTGGGAGATAGTGGTGATGGCTCAAGTTATTGGGTACCTACCATCCACATGGCAAACCTGGATTGTGGTCCCAGCTCCTGGTTCTGACTCCCAGCAACCGCTGTGGGCGTTGGGGAAATGTACCAGAGTTTGGGAATGCTCCCTCTGCCTCTCAAATCTGTAAGAATTAAAAAAAAAAAAAAAAGATTTAAAAGTGATAAATAGTTTTGATAGGGAAATATTGGTTCAGAAAGATTATCGTATATATAAAATCTTTGGACAAGCTTTCAGACATGTGTATAGAAACACCTCTGATTATTTTTAGTCTTTTTCTAAGATTTGGGAAGAAAAGCTACTTAAATTATATTATAAAAATTATACTTTCAAATTTTAAAATTAAATTTATATTTTTAATTACTAAAACTATTTAAAGATTCCAAAGCATAATTCAGGCTAGCATAAATCCAACTAATGTCTCCTAACTTGCAAGATCTGTCAACACATCAGCAAAAAGATTGATCAGTAATTAAAGGCAGAATGCCAGCATTCTTGCAAGGAAGAGGCAAGGAGCTCTTAGAATTATCTGATCCAGGATCTGGCTGAAAAGCCCATGAGAGTATTTCAGGCATGGAAAGCCAAGACACTCTGGCAAAAAGATCTCTGTGAGTGAGATCCCAGTGGAAAGAACAGGTCTTCAAAGAAGGAGGTACCTTTCTCTGAAGGGAGGAGAGAACCTCCACTTTGACTATGACCTTGTCTAAACAAGATAAGAGTCGGAGAACTCAGAGGGCTTCCATAGCCTTGGAAACTCATGACTGGAGCATAGGGAGATTACTGATGCCATAGACAGGAGTGTCAATTGGTAAAGTCAACAACAGGAGTCACTGTGCACTTACTTCTCATGTAGGATCTCTGTCCTTAATGTGCTGTACATTGAGATTTAATGCTATAATGAATACTCAAACAGTATATTTCACTTTGTGTTTCTATGGGAGTGCAAACTGTTGAAATCTTTACTTAATGCATACTAAACTGATCTTCTGTAAAAAAAAAAAAAAAAAAGAAATTATCAATTCCCAACTTGACTCTCATTGGGATTAAATATGACAATAGGTCTGATCTGATTTCATCATCATTTAAAAAAAATCATCTATTATTTTTCACTTTATGTTTCTGTGTGGGAGCAAACTGTTGAAATCCTTACTTAATGTATACTAAGCTGATCTTCTGTATATTAAGATAATCGAAAATGAATCTTGATGTGAATGGAAGGGGAGAGGGAGTGGGAAAGGGGAGGGTAGTGGGTGGGAGGGACGGTATGGGGGGGGAAGCCATTGTAATCCATAAGTCGTACTTTGGAAATTTATATTCATTAAATAAAAGTTAAAAAATAAAAATAAAAAAATAAAAAAATAAAAGAATTATCTGATCCAGGAGCCGGTGCCATGGCACAGTAGGTTAATCCTCCGCCTGTGGCGTCAGCATCCCATATGGGCGCCAGTTCTAGTCCCGGCTGCTCCATTTCTGATCCAGCTCTCAGCTGTGGCCTGGGAAAGCAGTAGAGGATGGCGCAAGTCCTTGGGCCTCTACACCAGCATGGGAGACCAGAAAGAGTCAACTGTCTCCTGGCTTCAGGTCATTGCAGCTCCAACCATTGCAGCCATTTGGGGAGTGAACCAACAGAAGGAAGACCTTTCTCTCTGTCTCTCCCTCTCACTGTCTGTAACTCTACCTCTCAAATAAATAAATAATCTTTAAAAAATTATCTGATCCAGTGGCCTGTGGGAAGAAGAAATGAACATGACTGTTTGATTTGTTTGCCCACTGATCACAACTATGTAAAA